CTGGGACCTGTTATTTGAGAGAGTGTTTATTAAAACATCGCACTATACAACAACATGAATGTTATTGAAGAGAGACCTCGTAATTTTGAACCATGGTGAAGAGACGAGGACGACATCTGAATTGAGAGACCCTCTTCAAACTACCACATCACACCACGAGGACTCTAAACCACGACAGATTTAAAGTGCATTGGCCCTTTTACAGGAGGGTCGTCAGTGTCACTGGGGCTCAAACTCCTGACACAACTGTCACGAAATCGTGGGCAAGACCATGAGGCTACCGATTTCATCTATTACTATATAAACCAATTATACTTTCTTATAGATATATTAATTCATAGCAAAACACCTTAAATTTCACAATGAAAATTTGATAAAACTACTTCCCGATTCTATTAGTTATTATTTTTACGTTATAGTTATGTGCCATTTTTTTCATAATTTTTTTATTAAATAAAATTGAACTGAACTCAATGATGCAACAGCCCATAAGGGCCAAAGCCTACTGTGTATATCTCAGTTTATGTGATCTTAGACGCTGGGGTGCATGTACAGATGTTTCGGCCAAGGGGTCAGTCTGACGTGAAACCCCCAGTGTTCGGTTCCCAAGCAAGCTTGGTAATTTATCGACCCACTGAAGGGATGAAAGGCTGAGTCGACCTTGCCCGGGATTTCAACCCCGAATCAATGTCGTGGAAGCACGATGCATTACCACTCAGCCACTAGGCTTCCGTTTGTTAAATACAGGCTTGCAAATAATGAGTTTTAACTTAAATAGTTAAAAAAAAATAATCCTTTCTTAAAAAATATTTCTATTATTCAAATATTTTTAAAAAAAAATATCGAAGAATTTAAAAAAGCAAGTCATCAACATACTTTTTAAAACTTTTAAGTCAGTATATTAAGATATTTGATAAATTTTTAAAATAGTTTTCTCCTCACAAGTTTTAAAATATTTTTAAACGCCATATTTTTTTACCACAATTTTTTAAATAAAATTATTCAAAACACACACACACAAAAAAATTGTTCGCGAAAGATCCCCAGACAATTTTTGGAAACAAATGCCAAACTCAAACGCGCAACCCACTACAAAAACGTCACTCCGATATCACCCCTCATCGCTCACAAAACAAACCCGAAAACTTGGCGACCGCGTTGGCGAGCGAAAAACTTACTTCGAGTGCGGCAGCCCTTCCGCGCTTCCCAATGAATATGATTACTCCGGCAAGTTTTCTCTCGGCTTCGCTCCGGCTGCGCTTCTCCGCCTTTAAAAGCGGGGACCGCTCTTATCTGTCACTACCACCCGCGTCCTGGAGAAGATGCGCGTTCGCGTTATTGACGCACGCCACCCTCATTAAGGGGCTATTTATTTATTTATGAAATTCAGGATCGCGTTTTAATGTCCGCCATGGGCTTTTCACTCCGTTCCTATTTTGATTAAGCTCCGAATTAAGGTTAAATAATGCACCGTGAGGCGCCTTCCCACAGCAAGCGCCAACGCGTTTAACATGGGCCGTGACATCGCGCATAGAGATTAAGGAATATTGCGGAATTTTTCAGAAGATTTTAATTAATAGGCTATGGGTTTCGTGAGTACCCATTTGGGTAACAAATATTTTGGACCATTGTTATCTGTCCTGTTTCGTTTACTCTAGATGAAGTTTAGAGCTATTATAAACTTGGGTTTAATCATTTTAAGGACTTATGAAATGATTTAGGATCAATTCGAGCACAGATTTGGAAGTAACGCTAAGAGAAAAATAAAATATGTAAGTTTGAAGATATGGTTTAAGAGAGCATAAGATTTATTCAATATCCATTGGGACTTCGTAATTTTAAATTAGAATCAGATTATGTAGATTTTGTTTTGATTTTAATTTAGGTTACACTCAGGGACGTCTTGAGACTTCTTGAGACCCTGGATCTATACTCAAAAGTAGGCCCTGGGCCTCTACACAAATGTAAGCCCCACCTATGGCCCTTAAAAGTACACTGTACATAGCTTACACCTTCAAATAATTGTACAAACAATAACCCAAAACAAATGAATGTGCATGACTTAAATCGCACAAACCGGCTTGACCGACTGTCCCCTTTTGATTCAATGAGTGATGATGGTGTATGGTGTCGGCCTATACCTGTACCTGGACGACGGTCATCACTTATTAAGTGATGACACTGTCTTGCTACTGTTGCCAGTTGACATATAGTCCCAAATGCCCACTTTTTCGGAGAATACTACCGGAAATAACATTTGACCATTGAAATTATTCGAATTATGATCTTTTTAAGGCTGAGTCGAGAACGAAACGAAGCCCTCATTGTGGTATAGGCCCCAGTTGGCCCATGCCTTAAGTCATCCTAGGTCACACTGTGACACGGGCTCGTCGCCAGCGTGTCATTAGTTCGTTTAGTGCCGCTGAAGACCTGTCGTGTGGAGGAGGCCGATGCATGTTGAATCTGTTGAGGCTCAAACATTCTCCCGTTGGTGTGTAGAAGTTAGGAGGAGGGATGCCAGTCCAGGTGTCGCGTCTTTATGACCATGGTTCAAATAGAGGTTCGTCCCATAGCCCTCTGAGCTTAAATAATGCGACGTTTATACATCACCTCACGTCACAATGTGAATCTACCCAAGGATTGGCAAATCTCCTCATATTTTTAAACCACGGTCATGTGAAGAGGACGAAACTTTAGCTGACCTCGGAACTCCTCCCGCGTTTGGGGACCCAACAGATTAACGTGCATCATCCCCTTTACATGGCGTGTCTTCAGGGGCTCTGGGTTTCTAATCCACGATTCGACACTTAGGATCACACAAGTTCTTCCCAATGTTTCAAAGTTTTTTAACCTCTTGCCAAATTCTCCTGCTTCAAATAAATAAAGAGAATAAAAAAGAAACGTCCAATTAAAATTTTTATTTTAAACTTGAAATATAATAGCAAGACACCCAGAGAACAGAATATACAAAATTTTAATTAATTCTTATTCGAATTACAACTCTAACAATATCTCACAGACATTCTGGTGCTGTAGCCAAGTGGAGAAGCCCAGTGGCTGAGTGGTAGCGTATCGCATGTCCACACCACAGGTCCGGGGCTCAATACCCAGGTTGGGAGAGGTAGACTCAGTTTTCCATCCTTTCTTAGGGGGTTCTCAAAATTATTTGAGAACTAAACATTAAGGGTTTCACGTCAGATTGACTTCCCCGTACTCCAATGTCAAGGTTAAACTGAGATGGCCCTGGCCCTTTGCCTCATAGAGTGATTGATGATTGAATATTAACCCCACTGTTAAAGCTACACGAGGGCTTTTGGCGACGGAACCATGTAAAGAACCATGGTCAAAGTGACGTGGACGACACTGAGTGGCCCCCCCCTCTCTAACTCCCACACCACCCAACGGGAGGACGTTTCAGCTCTCGACAGTTTTTAAACGTGCATCGCTGCCCACACGGCGGGTCTTTAGTGGTACTGGGCTCGAACTCGTGACAAGGCAAGCCACGGTCCGATACCTATACCACTCGGCTACCGCGGCCACCATGGGCTGTTGGACCACTAAGTTTAGTAGTTTAGTGTAGCCGAGTGGTAATGGTCACGAACTCGAGGCTGGCGTTGCCGAGTCGTGAGCTCGAATCTTGGAGCCATTGAAGATCTGTTGTGTAAATCAGTTGAGGCTCAAAGCCCTCTCGTTGGTTTGGTGTTGAAGTTTGGAGAGAGAGGTGCCAAAACTTAGGTGCTGGTTTTTGTCATTTGACCGATATTCTTAATTTTAAGATCCGTCAATAATAGTTCACTTGTAGCTTTAAAGCGTGACTTGTAATTTTAATCAATCAACCTGAAGCAGTCGTGTGTGTAAAGAGACTCATTTAAGTGAAATCTATCGAGGCTCAAAGTTCTCCCGTTAGCCTGATGTGGAAGTTTGGAGAGTGGTTTAAGGGTTCAGTATCTTCTACATCGCTTGAATTTGATTTAAAATTACGAGGTCCATCATAAAAAATCATCTCCGAAAGGGGGAGGGGTGATTTGTTTTGGTTAGGTTTAGGTGTTTTGATAAGGTTTTTAGGGAGAACTCAAGACTCCTTTACCATTCTGCCAATAATACTCGTCGCGTTGCTTCAGGGTGCGTCATTAATAAATAATTAAATACTCTTCCAGTTGTACCACTGATATTTTTAGACAGCCCCTGATGATTAATTTCCGATTACTTTTGTATGGGAACTAAACCCCTCTATTGCGTCATTTTCACATTAAGAATAACACATAAAATAACACATTTTGAGAGAAGAGCTGGATTAAGCTTAGATAACTCAAAATATAACGTACTTTACTCCAATAACTTAACAATACGTTTAAAAATTTATGATGACAAAACAGGCAATTAATTCAAGTTATGAAGGTACTTCGATTCAGAAAAGAAGATTTAGGTCGGAAATCAACCTTCCTAAATCATGTCCATTCATGTAGATATCAAGAGTGTCTGGGTATTTTTTATGTCTCCTGGTATGCTTTTAGAAACATATGTCCTGGAACATGTAAAGGACAGACGATCGTATCTTGTTAGCAATTTATATTCCTTTACGCAGCCATGTTCATATGAGGATGTAAAAAAATCGTTGATTAAGAAGGTCATTAACTTTCATTCATACATTTATGACTTCTGCGTTTCCTCGATGTGGTGAGTAATTGTATGTATCCTCAATTTCAACAATGTTTTGATTGCTTTCGAGCCTTTGTTTCATTCAATTTCTAATATTGGTTCACTCTCTCCCTATATATAAATATATATATATCTTTCTCAAATTTTCATTCGTTAATAACATACTTTCTATTCATCCATTCAAATTCAAATATATTTTTTAAAACTTGTAGTAGATGACACTTGATGTTAATACAGTTTTTTCAAATAACAATACATGTTTTAAATTAAAAAATGAATAAATAGTAACAAACAAAAATAATAGTTCAATAGCATATATAGAAAGGAAAAGCTTTCGTTGTGTCTCTGAAGCGCAATGGATAGCGCGTTGGACTTCTAATCCAAAGGTCGTGGGACCCACCTGGGATGGCCTAATTTCTGAGAATGTGATTTCTTTTTTACTACACTATTTTATAAAAATAATTAAATTTAATTAATGAATAAATAGTAACAAACGAAAAATAGTCAACCCCTATATAAGAAAGGAAAATGAAAAATTGCAAGGAAAATCGCTTTCTATTTTGTCACTTAGTATTGTGATTGTCATATGCAGTGACGCGCACAAGGGAGGTGTCCCAGGGTCCGATCCCCATAGCCCTTGATTTTTTCGATTGAGTTTATAATCCTATGTATATATATTACCAAAAATTTAATTATGTATTTGTTATTAAAAATAATTTTATTAATTAAGGGTAAAATTTATTCAATAATTAATTTGTATTGTTTTGTCTGAAAATCGACAAAATCAAAAGAATATGTTGGGCGGCGTATTTGAGCATGATACCAAAATGGTGGACTTTCGACCCTAATTTTTTGTGTGCTCTACTGGTCATATGTATATACATATTTATCTTAATTGTTACTATATTTAATAAAAAGTAACTAAAGCAAAAGTTTTCTTTGTTGACCTAAGTAGGAATTGAAAAAAATTTTTTTTTATATTACTTGTTTTTATATTCAAAAGATCAAGAAAATTCCAGAAAAAAAATATATATTCTCGTTTTTTAAGTATGGTCTTATCAATTTTTCTATACTTTTCAAAAATCACGAGGTGTGAAATTATACAAACCCATAATGAATAAGAAATTAAAAAGTTGTACTTATTTTGAACTTAAAAATTACGAATAAACGCTTTATGTTCACATAAGATACGTCTTGAAAAATTTATGTGTGTGCTACTGCTTAAGGACCTTTTTAGCTCCAGAAATTCACGAATTATGTATTTAATTAAATTTTCCTAGGAAATCTACGAATCAAAGCCTAATATTTCTTATTTTCAAAGCATACAAAACGCTTTGAATGAATATTAGTTACACATTGGATCCTTTTGTAGAGAAATAATACCGAAATCATTGTCATCACCAACCTATCTGCCACTTAAATCCGTCATGATGTGCATACACAGACTCGGCAACTCATGCATCAGATATAAAGGAACCAAAAACAAACCAGTATCCTCCCCGACCCATCATCCCCTCCTCCCACTCGTAACATAAAGAGCCAATTCAAAATCCAACTCCTCTTCACCCCCTACCAATTTTACCATGCCTGCTCCATCGAGATAGCAACCACCATAGAAATGTGCTCTGCGAATAGCGCTTAATCTCCCACACTGCTCACTCCGGCGTCTCCAGGGCTTAATATAACATCATGCCATGCAATTCGATTGCATATGACAGAATACTCGCTATCTGGGCATGTCACAGCACTAACTCACAATACACAGCGCATCATACACATACGCACGCAAACCTAACTCCACCTATACTATCATAACCAGAATCTACATATACCAATCAGTGAGGGTGGGGAACAGAATAGATCTTCCTCTCATCATACCCCCCCCCCCTAAGCGCTAGGCCCAATGTGTGCTGGAGCTGATAATGGAGATATGACAAATGTAACGTTAAAGGCAACTGTAAAACGTCATTAATATTGGACGCCGACCCTACCCCCCCGTCCGCGGATTTAGTTTAAATGCATCGTCATTATGTAGAATATTCCAACGGACTAATGGTGAGGGCCTAAGCTAACGATTTACACATAGACTATTGACACAGGACTCAGCGCTAACTAAATGGGACGTTTTAGGGTTGCTGTAATTTGATTAGGGGGCTTAGTTTTAGGACACGGGAAAGACTTAAATTGGCTGGCGTTTGCCAATGCAGGCAGCAGAATCGGCTGATGGCGCCGTGGATGTAATTAACCGCAGGAAGAACTTTTAATTAAAATTAATTACTAAGTGTCTCATTGGGTGATGGGACGGCGTAATTAGATGGCACTATCGAATTCGCATCTCTAATATTATCCAGCGTTTGCTTGAAGGGGGAGGGAGGGTTCTTTTTTGTCATCGACAAGGGAACTGAAGGATAGTTGTATCGTTTGCCGCTTTTGATGCAGATGCGTCACAAAGGAGGACGGTTCATCACTTGATTGGCGAAAAATTGGTTGTACTTTCTAAAACTTTTTCTTGATTTAGTTTCAGAATTTTGCGATTAAATCCTTTCTGAATTGGACATGTAATCCAATTAAATCGTTGTTTTTATATTTCAGACGTAAGATTTAATCATGTCATTCTTGTTCCTGTTTCAATTATTAAGAAACTTTCATTAAAATTATGTTAAACTGACGACATTTTATTTCACATTCCCCTCTATCCAATCATTTTGTTTATACTCAAATAGCTTTATATTAAGAATGTAATTTTGGATTTACTTTCATAAGTATCATTAGCTAATTTTGTACGAAGCTTAAGAAGTGTCATGCAACGTTAGCAATATATTACTGTAAGTTTAAAATTATTTTATATAATTGTTTTTAAATAATATTTAATATCAGAAATTCTTTCCAAAATCTTTGAATTATCAACTTTTAAAATTTTTTTTTATTCAAATTTTATTTTATTATGTAGATCCTATAGTCTAATTTTTTTAAATTTTTTCAAATATTTATCGCATTTTATATGAAAAAAAAATTTGAATTTCAAAATTAAAAAATGTCTTGTAATAAAGAATTGACTGCTAAGATAATATTTGAATGTTACCTGAAGGTATGGATAGTAATTTTGTCGTTAAATAAGGATGATAATTTCAAACTATTAAATCCACAAGTGAGTTTTAAACAATCCAATATCTCTAATGAAATAATAAGCACATCAAAGCGTGATTAAATAATGTTTGAGAAAAAAACTCAATGATTTTTTAATTTCTAAATTAAAAATTCAATAATTTGACTTTTAGTTTTGCATGGTAGCGAGAGGTATAGGTATCGGATCGTGGCTTTTGTCACGAGTTCGATTCAGTACCACAAAGACCCGCCGTTAGTTAACACTTGACGTTAAATCTGTCGTAGATAAGTTCCTCCCGTTGGTGGTGTGGTATAGGAGAGGGTTGTCAATAAGGTGGTATTTCAACTATTGACCATGGTTCAAAATTACGTGGTCCGTCGCCAAAAGCCCTCGTAGTAGCGCACAAGGCGTTAATAATGTTTCAATCAATCAATATGACTTTTAGTTATTGACCATTGAAGGACTGATCAAATAAAATAATAAAGAAATTTTCAGTGCCTTTTTTTATGCAGTAATTTTTTCCTACTTCCATAAATTTATATTTATTACACACACACACACACGACGCGTTGTTTAAAAATCTTTAATGATCTAAATTTTAATTTTAAAGCATATGAATCAATTTTTTTTTTAAAAAATCGTTTATCTTATTTTTTTTATCTCTTCCTCATATATATATTGCATAGTCCTTCAAAATAATACATTTCATTTTGAGAGTTAAGCTCTTTTCTGACACAAATAACTAAATTCAAACAATTTCAATTCACGCAGTTGATCAAATTTAGCAAGCATCAGCACATTTTCCATTTAAAGTGCACAACAATGCTTCGTGATTAGATATAACTTGCTTGAGACATTTCCACCCATTATCAAACCTTTCTAAATTCTCATTAAAAAAAACGCATGCCGGTAATTCGATAAAAACTCACATTAGACCTGTCAAAAGCTCCTTGATATCCAATATAAATCTTCACACATCCCCATTCTATTATTAATCACAATGCCTTTTTTGAGCTAACACCTCAAAGAATTGCTTCATCAAGCGACAGGGCGGGAGCGCTAATGCATCACAGACAGATATTCCTAAAACGAGTTTTGTCAATCAAAGCCCCAATCCAATTTAACGCTCCCGCCCATTTTTCCAGGGTCCAAAAGAAAGGATTGAAATCTTCCCCAATCAGCAGCGTCAGCTCGACTTCTATTGCCAATTACCTTCGATTCGATTAGGAATCAAAGGCCCTAAATTCCTTCATTGATTGGATACTAGTTGGCTGGGCAACTAGCATTCAACGTCTTTTCTATCGCCCCAGGACTAGGCTTCAGCCCTGCTTAGTTAGAAGTTCATTGTGACTGCAGATGTTCGCAGAGGGTACCTCATCAAGAACGTTATTCTGGAACTCAGAAAGCGTCGACAGTTCCCTGCAAACGATCTCAGCTATTTCCTCATGATTTCCCCCTTTACTTCCGTTGCTAGGATGCGTGATTAGCGATCAGACGATTCTGTTCCCTAATCATCGATTATTAGGTTGGGATCGATAGTATGTGTGCGATTGTGATGATCTGTTCTGGGTTATTTGCGTAACGAACGGGTTTTTATGAGTCCTGGGAGAAGAAAAAAGGGTTGAGAAGTTCCTGTTTGAGTCTAACTTGTGTGTCATGGAGAAGTTTCGTGATACTTTAGGTTCATTTAGCTAAGCCGTATGGTAAGCGAAGATTTTTATTCGAAATATATTTTCGTCAAAAAAATATATTCTTCTTTGAAAAATTTATATTTTTATGAATCTAATATTCTTAGGGAAAATTACGATTATTGTTTGGGATTACACCAGGCTTTATAGTAAAGAGTGTAAATTGATATTAATTTTTACTAAAATGTGCAATACACTGTTAAGCTGTTGTTACAATATATATAAATATCCAATATTGCTTAATAAGTGTAAAATATATTTTTTAAGAAAACTGGTTTAATCAGAATTTTTCAGTTATTAGAGTAAAATGTAAGTACTTTCGTGGAATTATTAATGTCCCCGTAATATCTAACACAAGCATAATTCATAGGAATGAAGGATATATAATCTATTAATCATTCCTATAAATTGTAATATATGTACACAAATAAAAAGACAAGCAGAAATTCTGATTGACAACAATGATTTTATACTATATTTTTCTATCAACAACAACAGGGATATTGGTAATGAATTTCGTAATTTTAAACCTCGTTCAAGTAAAGAGGACAACACCTGAGCTGGCAGTCCACTTTTTAAACTTCCACACCAAGCCTACATGAGGATTTTGAGCT